AGCACCTCCTACCTACACCACGTTATGTACGAGAAGCTGCAAAAGACACAGGCGCAAGTGGAATGTACAAAACATGGTGACATTAATTTTTAAGTAAATATAATGGGCGATATATTGCGTCACCAAAAATGATTGAGGTCATATATATTGCGCGATAAGTCGATATATTGATTATTGCGCCAGGCCTAACAGGAACTTGAGTTTCTTCAGTCAATGGGTTCGACTGGCATCATGAAACTGAGTCCAGACTCAAAAAGTCCTGTGTTGCAAGCCTTCCTGTTTTCATCCAATACTGACTGACTGACGAACACAACAAAAGCCTCATCCGAGCGAGATCTCGAAGAATCCAGACGTCAGAGCTGATTCATCTCCACTTTATTGATTGAGCAACACACTCGGAGCGAGCTGTGAGGAAGGACAGATGCACACACTCTCCTCAGCCCTCTTCTGCTTTTCATATTCTAATATTACACACATGCTGGACTCTCTCGACTGTGAGGTCAAAACAGTCTTATCCTGAATCTATTTCTTTAGCTAAACAAATGCAGTGTATGGATATAAAATATTGATTTTAGCTGAAATGATCATATGTGAAAAAGAGAGAGCTCAGGCTGGCTTAATTGTTGGTTCTTGGTCCAATTAAATTTTTTTAATTATCATATAGAATAATTATGTTCCACATTTATATATATTTATATATGTATATACATTATATTCATATAATCTTATAATAGCTGTATATCACAGAATATTTACATTATATTTCATCTATGAAATAGTTTAAGTCATTTACCATGAATTTTTTAGATTTAAATTTATTAAATTCATATATATATTATATGTTCATATATATTCATGTTCATATTTATAATTATAACATTCTCAATAGATGTTGTATTTGTATTATATACTCATGGGGCTTTTCTGCGTAACAGACAAACAAAAAGCTACAACTTCCTTTTGCATCTCATTTGTCTCTAAACGTTTCCCATCATGCCAAAAATACAGAGGCAGGCAAATTCATGTGGATCCTGAAACCTCATGAACATTTCCTCATTCATTTAACACTGATGACGCTGCAGGAGCACAAACTCTGACCCCAAAGAAGAGCACGAACTACAGCCGTAATAATGAGGACGGAGCGTCACAGCGGCAGGAAGTGATGCGTGCAGACGCCTAACGACCGCGCACATGCAACAAACACCATTAAACTCAACATTACCATTAGAAATGATGCAGAATCCCAAACACACGCGCCCCAGAAGCCCTTCATCCTGCAGTGACGTGAAATACTGCTCAATGACCGATGACATTACCAGTGACTAACCAGTAAGACGGAAAACGGACAATATATAACACAGTTTAATCACATTAGATGAGAACATGAGATGAATTAAAATGAGCACTCATCTAGAAATCAAGCTGCCTGTTAACTGATATAATGCCAATAGCGTACCGTTTCTGCCACGGAATAAAAAAAAAGTAAATGCTAGTTGCGATTTTTTATTTCGGAATTCTGACTTTTTTTTTCTCACAATTGCAAGTTACAAAGTCAGAATTGTGTGAAATACATTTGAACATTTGAAGTGGATCAAAAAAGTTCGTCAAAGTTGTCCTAAGACAAGAACGCATTTGGTTTTAGGGTTTAGGACGACTTTAATGAAAGATTTTGATCCACTTCAAATGTTGACTAGTGTAGGCCTAAACTCGCAATTCTGAGAAATAAAGTCAGAATTGCGAGATACGAACTCGACTTTCTTGCAATTTCGACTAACACTGAGAAATAAAGTCAGAATTGCGAGATATACATTTGCCATTCTGAGAAGTCAGAATTGCGAGAAAAAAGTCACAATAACGCTATAAACTCGCAATTCTGCGAAAAACTCAACGTTAGTTTATCTCTCACAATTCTGACTTTATTTCTCGTAATTCTGACTTTTCTAGCAATTGCAAGTTTACATCTCACAAATAAAAGTCAGAAAAGTCAGAATTGAGAAATGCAAACTCGCAATCGCAAACGCAGAATTTGATCTTGACTCGCAATTGCATGCTACAAAATCAGAATTGTGAGATATAAACCTTTTTTGAGAAATAACGTTAGATTTTGAGAAATAATGTCAGAATTGCAAGATACAAATTCGGAGAAAAGTCACATTTGTGTGGTAACTTGCAATTGCAAGAAAAGAAAAAAACTCACGTTTATATCACGCAATTCTGATTTTATTTCTCATATTTTAATTTTTTTCCATTTTTCATCAACTTTACGATCTCAGAATCGCTCGAATGTGTAACTTCCTGTAATATTTTTCTGATGCCTTCGTCGAAATGTTTTCGTTAAATTGTTCTCGGAAGCAAAATGTCTTGCAGGTCAATAATTTTGATCACTCTCGAATTTACCATCTGCTTTGTCAATGTAAAATGCACATGATCTCTTTTCACATGCTTCTGTGAATTTGCATAAATACTGTAAAAATAAGCATTTAATTTGCAAACATTTCAATGTTTACTTATATATAATGTTTACATTAAATCAGCCATTGCCCACACTGTTCTCTGGATTTACATGCGTTTGTCTGCATTTATTTGATCCAAAATACAGTAAAAATTGCTAAATATTATTACAATTTAAAATAGCTGTTTTCATTGTGAATATCTGTTAAAATGTAATTTATTTCTGTGATCAAAGCTGAATTTTCAGCATCATTACTCCAGTCTTCAGTGTCCTTCAGAAATCATTCTAATATGCTGATTTGCTGCTCAAGAAACATTTCTGATTATTATCAATGTTGAAAACACTTGTGCTGCTAAATATTTTTATGTGTATGTATATATACTCATTTATTTACACATATACTTAGGGCTAGCCTCTCGTTTGACTCACTAACTCTTAAGTACGATCACTAATAGTGATGTTTGACTTATCAAACGCTAAATATGTTTCAAAAGCCCCATCACAGGCCTGGCATGAAGACAGATCACTGATGATAACGATGTAAACGGGTTTGAGTGTGGCTCACTGACCCAGGTACAGCACGGTGGGGATGAAGCCCCAGCGGATGATGAACTGGCCGCACTGGAACACCTGCTGCAGCCGCTGCTTGCTCTCTTTGCTCAGTTTGGCCATCATTTCACTCAGATTTACTCAAAGATCGTCTCTGGATCCGACGCGGAGCGGTGAAGTGCACAGAAGAGCGCAGGAAGCACGTGTATGCCGTAAAGTGTGCGGCGGCGTCGTTCCTGCTGCGGCTACAGCTTTGCGACAGTCGCCTAAAAAAGCGCCACGCTGACATCTAGTGGCCACACTGGGACATCAGGACAAAAGCAGGTACAATGTAGAAAATATTTTATATTTTATTTTATTTTTGTGATTTATTAAAAATGCGTCATTAATACCAAATTAAATATTATATGTATATGTATGCAATTTGACAATTTCCTTGAATTGCTTAATAATGAAAAGCAAATAAAATAACAAAAATCCCAATCAAACAAATATTTCTTAATTACACTCCTATTTTATTTTGCTTTGTTATTAATTCAAAAGGACAAAAGCAGGTACAATGTAGAAAATATTTAATTTTATTATTTTATTTAATTTTACTTAATTTTATTTTTTTTATTTATGAAAAATGCATCAATACCAAATTAAAATTATATGTATGCAATTTTTTGGGGGGGACAGTTTCCTTGAATTGCTTAATAATGAAAAGCAAATAAAATAACAAAAATCCCAATCAAACAAATATTTCTTAATTACACTCCTATTTTATTTTGCTTTGTTATTAATTCAAAAGGACAAAAGCAGGTACAATGTAGAAAATATTTAAAAAAAAATATTTTATTTAATTTTACTTAATTTTATTAAATTTTTTTTATTTATTTATGAAAAATGCATCAATACCAAATTAAAATTATATGTATGCAATTTTTTGGGGGGGACAATTTCCTTGAATTGCTTAATAATGAAAGGCAAATAAAATAACAAAAAACTCAATCAAACAAATATTTCTTAATTACACTCCTATTTTATTTTATTGTATTTTGTTATGAAAAATGCGTCATTAATACCAAATTAAATATTATATGCATGCAATTTGACAATTTCCTTGAATTGCTTAATAATGAAAAGCAAATAAAATAACAAAAATGCCAATCAAACAAATATTTCTTAATTACACTCCTATTTTATTTTGCTTTGTTATTAATTCAAAATTGTGTCATTAATACAAAATTAAATATATGTAAATGAATGCATTTTGAAAGTTTACTTAAATTAGTGAATAATGAAAGGTCCAACAGATATATTTTAAATACGTTATTTTATTTGATTTTGCTTTATGAAAAATGCATCATTAATACTAAATTAAATATGATATAAATGTATGCATTTTGAAAATGTTCTTAATAATGGAAAGCAAATAAGCTCACAAAATCCCAGTCAAACAAATATATTTTAATTACACTATTTTATTTCATTTTGCTTTGTTTATAAAAAATGCATCAATATACTAAATTAAATGTTATATGTAAATGTATGCGTTGTTATATATAAATGTATATGTCATAAATAAATGCATGCTTTTTGACAATTTACTTGAATTACTGAATAATGAAAGACGATTAAAATAAAATCCTAGTTAAACAGATGTTTTAATTACTTTATTAATTTTGGTTTGCTTTATGAAAAATTCGTCATTAATCCTGAATTAAATATTACACATAAATGTACGTTTTTTGTCAATTTACTTGAATTGCTTAATAATGAAAGGCAAATAAAATAACAAAAAACTCAATCAAACAAATATTTCTTAATTACACTCCTATTTTATTTTATTGTATTTTGTTATGAAAAATGCGTCATTAATACCAAATTAAATATTATATGCATGCAATTTGACAATTTCCTTGAATTGCTTAATAATGAAAAGCAAATAAAATAACAAAAATGCCAATCAAACAAATATTTCTTAATTACACTCCTATTTTATTTTGCTTTGTTATTAATTCAAAATTGTGTCATTAATACAAAATTAAATATATGTAAATGAATGCATTTTGAAAGTTTACTTAAATTAGTGAATAATGAAAGGTCCAACAGATATATTTTAAATACGTTATTTTATTTGATTTTGCTTTATGAAAAATGCATCATTAATACTAAATTAAATATGATATAAATGTATGCATTTTGAAAATGTTCTTAATAATGGAAAGCAAATAAGCTCACAAAATCCCAGTCAAACAAATATATTTTAATTACACTATTTTATTTCATTTTGCTTTGTTTATAAAAAATGCATCAATATACTAAATTAAATGTTACATGTAAATGTATGCGTTGTTATATATAAATGTATATGTCATAAATAAATGCATGCTTTTTGACAGTTTACTTGAATTACTGAATAATGAAAGACAATTAAAATAAAATCCTAGTTAAACAGATGTTTTAATTACTTTATTAATTTTGGTTTACTTTATGAAAAATTCGTCATTAATCCTGAATTAAATTCAGGATTAATTACTCATTTACTATGAATTCAGACTGAATGTTTCAACTCAACTGGCCTATATTATATTATGTGTTTGAAAAATTGCATCTAATTCAAATAATTAAATATTAACAATCTTATTTAAAGAATTAATGACCCTTCAAAAGGATCTCAATTTAACTTTCCATTTCAAAATTAAAACATGTTTTACCCTACACATTTAAATACTAATAGTCCACAAATCCCTGATTAACAAAGACTTCCTAATTTTAATATAAAATAATAAATCCATAAAATAAAACATTCAAAGATCAGTATTGTTTGATGACAAAACGTTCAATGATTTAATCTCAGAACCATTTAGATCTGTGTTAAGAGTATCTTAATTTAACATTAACTAGTAAAAACATTTATGGAGATTTTGTCTTACTACATAAAAATCCAGAGGCAAATTGAAATAGAAATCTTTATTTTCAGACTGTAACCATTTGACAAAAGGCAAAAAATGACTGTAGTACGATAATATTTACAATTCACAACAAAATATTCACATTCTCCAAATAATCTGAGCACAGACACGAGCACTGTTATTGATGATCCACTTCAAATCAAAAACACAAACCATTATGAGCAGAAAACGTCTTCAAAAACATCATCTTAAAAAAGAAAACAATAAAACCAGACAAATACGGGTGCAAAAACAGTGAAAGCAGAAAATCGAAGCTATATCAAGAAATGATTTCTGGCTTATAATCACACTGTTTGCTGGGTCTCTGCATGACATCAGTGTGACACATGAACGGATGGTTAACTAATACCAGTTTAACCACCAATACTAACTAACCCGCCCGCCTCACGTGTCAAAGCATCTCTTATGGCCTCACATACAGCACTTCATATAATAACCATATTGCTTTAGAAACACCAGGAAAAAGACGACTATAAATGAAGACGACTCTCGTTTTGGTCAGATTTCTTCAGGATTTGTAATCAAGCATCCGAATTCCTGGAAACTGTGACGTTATTTCTTCATGTTGGAGCGTAGTGCATGCTGGGATACGCAGAGAAGAGGAACTGCAGTTCGTACACGTAAAAATCGAGTAATAATACCATGAAAACGTCCAAATCGGCATTAAAAATACACGTCTGACTTCACATGGAGTAAAAACACTTCAAAAATACATCACTATGGTAATCGATCACCACTGACGAAAACCGAA